GGGACTCGCCGATTCACTGTTCGGACTCGCCGATTCCGTACAGTGAATCGGCGATTCACTGCACAGAATCGTCCGGTTCTCTCTAGAACCGGACGATTTCCGATTTTTTAGGCGATCCGATCCCCTTTTCACGATTTCCGAGTCGAACCGGGCGAGTCCGGTTCGACTCGGCATTTTTTAAAACAATGTTTTCAATGATTGGTCATTGAGAACAATGGGAGTTCCATGTTCTCGTTATTATGAGTTGACGAGATCCTAATGGCAATCAATGATAAGGACAAGAGAGATACTACCAAAGGTTGGTCGTCTTCTAAACTTGAAGTAAATGACATGGGCAAAGTGCATCACGTGCTTGATGTTAAAATCATGCACAATTATTCTAAGAGGCTCCATAAGTTTTTCTTAACTAACATATATTAGAAAGGAAAAAGTTTATATAAGGTCACAACTTTAAAATGTAGAATTACAAATGCACCTCAAAAATCTATCGAAAATATTGTTATAATGTAGACCTCTAATTGATCATCTCAACATCGAGATGTATAAATATGAAAAAAAAAAAAAAAATGAGTCCCAGAAATAGTGCATCTTGCAACACAATATTTAGACCGTCCATTTTCAAGATTTTCATATGTATATAGATCTACTTGATTTCAACAAAATTACATGTTATGATAAAATTTGGAGGTACGCCTTAATTGGATTATTTAAGGTTGAAACCTCATAGAAACCACACCCATTTGAAAACTTTTAGAAAGATTTAGGATGCATCATGGAGGGGTCATTGATACTCCAGCCAAGAAAGGCTATGTCTTTGATCTAAATTTCTATCTATAGATGGGGACTGATATATGATGAAATGATGATTTGTATACCCCATACGAGCATATTATGTAGTCTTATGAATGTCATGTTTTGAACGTGACAGTATGTGATGTAGGGCTTATCGAGTAGCTACTATCTAAATCCAAAACATTAACAGACTGTGAACTTGACACTCCGATATCCCCAAAGACCCATGGACTATTCATGAATCTTTATAGGGAATGAGCCCCACTATATGGATAGAGTAAGTCTAATTAGATGGTGATCTCGATTATCGATGGTTGACATCAGAAACGTCCCCACTCTTGGAATGGGAGCAATTTCGTAGTGCAACAAGTGAGATGATATGATTGGCATGTCCAATATGGAAATAGAGCTTATGGATTAATGTATAGTATTATAGAAGATATATGACTCACGATGAACCTAGGAAACTAGGGATCATAGTGATAGTGAGCATTAGAGAGCCTGTAAGCCTATTTTGGTAATAACACGACGGCATAAGCTTTCACAAAAGATCCCAAGTACCATAATAAGACATATCATGTAGAGATTGTGTATCACTATGTGTGAGGTGTCATTTAGAGGAGAAAGACAGTAATGACATATAATCCCACTAGCAGACCCCATGACTAATTCTATAGCTTGAGCAATGTATATGGGCGTATGTCAAGGGATTGGGACCTGGAAGACCCTAATTGGTTTTCTGCACATCATCATTGTCTAACTATACCCACACACAAATGTTGTATTTTAATATTTTCACCATTTTTGTGAGATTTATGGCAATATGATTTGTTCATAGCATCAACATATAGTTTTGATTGCAATTTCACACTAGAGCACTAGGACACTTGTTCGCTGTTAGATATATCACCGGTAGGCTTGGTCTGCTCTCAGATAGTATTGATTCGCCCTCATTATCTAAGACATTGAAGGGTGAGATACCTACAAGGTGTATGAGCATCGCCTCGATATGAGATCGATGTGAGATTCTATAGTTAGGAATGGACATGAACCATATGAGTATGTCGTTCCACAAGATCATGTAGCCTATATGATAGCTAGGTGTGAGCATTGGGGATGCTTAGGTGTAGCACATAGCATGTTGGATGCGATGGGATGCATGGTTGCAACTAAACTAAGACCTGCATATTGTAAATCTGACATGAATCTTATTATTGTTTATTAATTACACCATGGCGTGTAACTTATACTACACATATTTAGCAAGACCAATACTGTAATAGTGGTAGATGTGTATAGGTGATCTTCGTTCGCTATT